GTCATAATAAATTGTTTTAGAATTGGTCAGGGTTTCAGGTTCATGAATGTTATACTAGTGCTTTATGCTTCTTGTTTGTTAATCATTATTAAATTTTACATTTATTAGAATTAGTGAGGAATAATTTTCGAGTTGTTGATGTCACATTGGTCTAGCTTTTTTATGAAATGGATTTGAGCTAGAATTTGATTTCACTTGGATCAGTAGTTATGATGTTTATGTCCATCCTCCAGGCTTTATAGATGCATGTATTGTATATCATTCGAGTTATTAGATAAAATGCTTCTAAAATGCAAGTGATGCTACTTCTACTTTCTTAGCTAGGATGTATGTACAAAGTGGTTGTATATGTAATCTTAATAGATATTTTTATGTCCACTGAAAGATTTTGATGTTGTCTGGGACATTCTCATACGTGTTGTCAATGTTGTTTTGATGCTCAGTGAGGGAGGTAAGAGTGATAAAGATGTTTAATTTTTGCGCTTTTAAAATGGATGTTAATGTAATATGTTTAATGGTTTGGATTGAAACGAAGAAAAGGCTTAACATAATGTGATGTAGTTACTGGTAATTAAGAAAATTGTAAGTCTGAAATGACCATCCAGCTCAGTTGGTAGAGCACAAGTTTCTTAACCTTGAGGTCGTGGGATCGAGTCCCACGGAGGGCATTTCATAATTTGGAGGTCTCTTACGGAAGCTGCTCTCAATCTGGTGTTGGGGGTAGCCTACTATCTTATCTCCCCCTTACTCCATACATATGGGAAAAAGGGAAAGCCATTTTGTAAGTCTAATCTTGCCATCATACATAATTTGAATAATTTTATTACATTCAGGCTCAATATTAATTTTTATCAATTTATTTTACTGTAGGTGTCTAATATGGTAGCATCTGTTGAGGTCAGTGTTTCACCCTCTTTATCAAATTCTATAAATTCAATGACAAAAACTTCAAGTCAAATCAATAACACAAGAGGGATTGCAAGTAAACGAAAAGATATTCTTTTAAGGTCAGAAGCATGATATCATTTTACTAAGTTTGTTAATAGTGAGGGTAAAAGTAAGGGTATATACAATCATTGTGATGAAGAATTTTGTTGTGATGTGAAAAATGGAATTGGATCATTGATATATCACGTGAAACAATGTAAGAAAAATCCTAACAACATTGACACTAACCAAGGCAATTTAGTGTTACCTAGTAAGGGTCTTCGAGGGGAAGTAGGACATCTCACAACTTAGAAATTTGATCAATAAATAACTACAAAAGTTTTAGCCCAAATGATTGTGATTAATGAATTGCCTTTTAAGTTTGTTGAGAGTGAATGATTTAGAAAATTTATGTATGTAGCATGCCTCAAATTTCATATTCCTTCAAGATTGACTATAACTAGAGATATTTATCAATTGTACTTGGATGAAATGAGTAAGTTGAAACAGTATTTAAGAAGTTCATGTTCAAGAGTTTGTTTAACTACTAATACACGGACCTCTATGCAAAGAGTTAATTATATGTGTCTCACTGTACACTTTATTGATAACGATTATAAATTGAATAAGAAAATCATAAGTTTTTATCCAATTTCTAGTCATAAGGGAGATGCAATTGGGATGATGATTGAGAAATGTTTATTAGATTGGGGGATTGATATGTTGTTTACTATCACCGTTGACAATGCAACTTCGAATGATGTTGTTATTGCTTATTTAAGAAAGATATTTAATCCTCGAGGGGGTTGCATTGCAAATGATAAATATCTTCATATAAAATGTATTGTACATATTGTGAATTTGATTGTTGCTGAAGCTTTAAAGGAAATGAACAAATCTGTTGCATGTGTTAGGGGTTGTGAAATATGTGAGACAATCTCTAGCTAGATTAAAAAAGTTCATGGAGTGTGTTGAGATGAAAAAAATTGAGAGAAAAAAATAGTATGTCTTGATGTTTGTACTAGGTGGAACTCTATCTATTTAATGTTATACACTGCTCAAAATTTTGAGAGAGCTTTTGAGAGATTTGAGGAGCGAGATATAAAGTTTAGGGCTGAACTTGAGTTAGGAGAGGGCAGGCCAACTATAAATGATTGGAGTAGTGTTAGAAACTTGAGGGATTTCTTGGAACATTTTTATGAAGTCACTTTGCGAGTTTCATACACTTTTTATGTCACGTCTAACAATTTTTTTTATGAACTTACTGAAATTAGTATACTTTTAAGGGATGCTCAATTAGGAGTTGAAGTTGAATTTATTGTTATGGCCATAAGGATGAAAGATAAATATGAAAAATATTGGGTGATATTGAGAAGATGAATATGCTTGTTTTTGTTGGTTGTGTTTTAGATCCTATGCAGAAATTAAGTTATTTTGAATTTGCACTTAGTGAAATGTATGATTCAGAAAAAAGTTTTGAAGTAATTCAAAAACTGGAAGAGACTTTGAATGAATTGTATGATGAGTATAAGCCTCGAGTCTCTAGTGATGGAAACCAATTAAATGTGAGATTTTCTTTAAGTGAACCACAACAAAAAGTGAAAATACGCATGAAAGATTTGTATAAAAGGTGTGTGATTGAAACTGGTGGTGAGGATCAAACATATGAATTAGATAAATATCAAAGGGAGGTTGTTGAGAATTATGATGATGAATTTGATATCTTGTCATGGTAGAAAGTCAATAGCCTTAGATTTCCACTTCTTTCAAATATGGCCAAAGATGTATTAGCTATACCACTTTCTACCATCGCTTCAGAGTCTACATTTAGTACCGGTGGACATGTGCTTGACCAATTTAGGAGTTCTTTGACTCCTAAAATGGTGCAAGCTCTTGTGTGTACTCAAGATTATATTAAAAATTCATCAACCGAAAAGAAGATCAAGAAGATTGAAGAACAAATTCAAGAGCTTGACAAGATTGATAATGATATGTTGATTCTTTATTTATTACTTTTAATTTAATAAGTAAATATTTTGAGGAGAATTGAGACACCATTAATTGATTTAATCATTTGAACTTTTAAATTTATCTTGGAATACATTACAACCTACCTTCAATTCATGAGCTCATAAGCTTCTACACTCACAGTATGAGTTGAAGGGTATGCAATTTTTTCTTAATATATACTTTGTAAATTACAATGTACTTTTTAGTTTATATATATATATGATATTTTCTGTTGTATTTACAGTTTTTAAAATAATATATTTTTCTTGTAGAGATAATGCAAATGAAAACATTTTGAGAGAATTCAATTGGTGTAAATAGAGTATTTTGAATATTGTTGTATTGTGTGTTTTTGTGAGACTTTTTTGGTAATTTCTTCCCTTACATTCCTTTTAATTTCATTAATTGGAATAATATCATTTCATTTATTGTGTTTTATGTATTATTTGAATAGAGTAAACAAAATATTATTTTAAAAAAATCTATGAATTATTAGCACATCTCCGATGATGTTTAGTACATTCGGATATGAATAATATTGTATTACATAAGATTGTGTTAGCACTTATAATTTTAGCATTGGTCGATACTTCATAGATATATTTGATATTTATACATTTGATTTTTTTATTGTTTTTGTTGGTTTCAACTGAATTTTGTATCTCTTTATTTCTATGTTGTGCAAATAATATATTCTCTTAAAATATGAATCGTTGAAACTTGATAGAGAGCATCTTGATTGGTATGGCAACAAACAACAGCTTAACACTTTAATATAACATTTATGTACCATGCTCCGTTTATTTTGTAGAATTTCAAATTAGTTTAATTTTTTTTATCTTAGTTGGTATGGCACCACATAACAACTTAGCACTTTTGCACAACATTCATACATCATGCTCCATTTATTTTGTAGAATTTCAATAATTTCAAATAAGTTAATTTTTTTTAATAGATACAATTATTTTAATATAATATTTGAATAAAATTTTAAAATTTTAATTTTATAATTAGATATTATTTAAATTAATTGTAAAATATTTTTTGAATTAAAAATATTTCATTGTTATATAAATTAAAAAAAATTAATTTTTTTATTAATTAAATATTGATCGAATTAATCAAAATTTGTTCAATTTTAAATAAAATTTTGTTTAATTAACAATTAAATAAAAAATCAACTAATTTAATTATGATTTATTCCGTTCGATCACCGGACACTAGGGGTGTATTCGGTTTGGTTCGGTTCGGTTTTTTACCAAAAATTGAACCGAACCGAAATAAACGGATTTTCAATATTTAAACCGAAACCGAATAGTTAAAAAACCAAAAAAACCAAAACCGGTTTTTTCGGTTCAATTCGGTTTTTTTAACGGTTCGAGTTTTTCGGTTCGATTCGGTTTATCGATTTTTCAATAAAAAAATCACTTGAAACTATAATTTTTTTTACAAAAATTGTCTATTCGGTTCAATATGGAACAAATGGGTTTCATATGGAAAACTCGAACCGAACCGAATCAAAAAAATAAAACCTTTAAACTGAATCGAAAACCGAACCGTTTAAAGCCAAACCGAACCAAATCGAACCGTTTTACTCGATTCGTGTCGATTTTTCGATTTTCTCAATTTCGTTGATTAGCCCTACTGGACACTCCTACACTTCCGCTTTATAAGGGGCTTGTTTTGAATGTGACAAGGGCCATTATCATCTTCACTAAAGAACTGAAAAAAAAATTATTCTAACTATAATTTAATTTACATCGAATCTTATCATCAAACATACATTAGTTTTATTTTTAAAGGAGTAGCAACTCAACTATAGCTTTTAAAATTTAATGACTGATTAGTAATATAACTAATAATCGAGTGATTTGAAGAATAATTTACTCAATAAAAACAACTTATTCAACCTTTAAAGTTCTTGAGATCAATAATAAAAGTCGAAGGTCTTGGACTTGCGAAAATTGAAATCTTAAGGATGGAAACAGGAAGGGAGAATCCAAAATGCAGTTGCGAACAATGTGACACAGTTTGATTAAACAACAAAGGCAAACACCAAGAAATGTAAAGATGAATCATGATTCGTTAATTAATATAACGAGAAATTTTAAACATTCTGTGCAACCCAGTTTTGATTACAATGAAATCGATATACCCAGAAACAGAAAACAAACTATTATAGGAATTAAAGAAAAGAAAATTAAGCACGCTCCCCACGGATTCGCCTGGCGAGCTGAATATCCTTGGGCATAATCGTGACCCTCTTGGCATGGATTGCGCACAAGTTGGTATCCTCGAACAAACCCACTAGATATGCCTCCGCAGCCTCCTGCAATGCCAGGACCGCATGGCTTTGGAACCTCAGATCCGTCTGCCCAACAAAAGGAACAATCTCACTATAATATCCGAACTAATTAAACGAAGTCCCCCATAATTTGGGGCTTTGATTTCTTGAAAAATTAATGACATTCATACCTTGAAGTCTTGGGCAATTTCACGAACAAGGCGCTGAAAGGGTAACTTGCGGATCAAAAGCTCTGTGCTCTTTTGATATTTACGGATTTCACGAAGAGCGACGGTTCCCGGACGGTAGCGATGAGGCTTCTTGACTCCGCCGGTGGTAGGTGCAGATTTCCTTGCAGCCTGTAATTGATTGATTTACAAATTACAGAATAAGAAACGTATTATAAAAAAGAAACTATGGATTTTATTTTGAGAAACTAAAGCTCAAAAAGATCTGGAAAACCAAAACGATACCTTGGTGGCGAGCTGCTTTCTGGGAGCCTTTCCTCCGGTTGATTTACGGGCAGTTTGCTTTGTACGAGCCATCACTTTTCTTCAATTCAAGGAAATTGAGACCAAAGATTCCGAAAGAGAAAGGCAGACCAAAAGAGAGACGAGGGATTTTATTTGCGAGAGAGAAATTTGGGAACCTTTTTTTTCAAATTTTGAAACGCGACTGCGGCGAAGTTGAGAAATGGGCATCACATCATATATATACACATATAAGGTTTAATGGAGGGGCAAATATGGAAAACAAAAAATATCTTTCAACCGCATTGTATAGAGTAAAAATGTTGAGGGAAAAACCATGATCCGTGTGATTGAATCTGATTGGGCATCTGCAAAAGAAGGATTGCCAGCGTCGAAAATTGTGTTTCCTTTGTACAATGAATTTTCTTTTTAAGGTAAGGGGGAAATTATCGTACATAACAATTCAATAAAAATAAATTACCAACAATATAATTGATTATCTTGTTTTCTAAGTTATAGTCAAGAGACAAATATTAGAATATCTTTTGTAAATTATTTTAGAAGTTGAAATCTAATTTAAAAATATTTATAGTTTTATTTCCTTTAAGTGTATCATTTTTGCTATTTCATTGATCAAATAATTTAAACGATTTTTTTGAAAGTATGCTGGTGTTTTAGAATTATTTTGAGATTTATATCATTTAAAATATAATAAATAATTTAAACTCATCGTACAAACATAACGAGTTCATAGAATTTTTTTTTAGTTCAAGATGAGTTCTATTTTTTAATATATTTTATAAAACACATCATTCTCTCATAACAAATTTTATTTATGTTATAATAAATAATCTAAGTTTCAAAATAATTCTCAAACAAAACATTTTCAAATTTTATTGACGTATTTACATTCAGATTGATGTTTAAAGAATATAAAAACAACGTACCATCCCGCATTGTATGTAAAAATAAAGTGTAAATTACATCAAATACCATAAACTTTAAGTATTATATCGTTTATAGCACTGAACTTTTAATTTTACCAATTATAGCACTGAACTTTTAATTTTACCAATCATAGCTGAACTTTGATTTTCATTTCAATTATACCACTGGGTTGTTAAATCATTAACAGACGGACCAAAATAACATCATTTTGGTGAGGTGTCGACGTCGAATGTCGTCAGCCATGTTGGCAGTCGTCAACCACGTCATTGTGTCGTTAACGATTTAAAAGTTCAGTGGTATAATTAAAACAAAAATCAAAGTTCAATTCTATAATTGGCAAAATTAAAACTCAATGGTATAAACGATACAATGCCCAAAGTTCATGGTATTCGATATAATTTAAATTATTTTAGTTTGATCATTAAATTTAAATTTTAAATTATTATGTTATCAATTCGTTATAATTTGATTGTGACTCGTTAACTCTCTATTACGATGATATGATATATTAAATAAAAAATTAAATAAATTTGACCATTGAATTTTAGATAAATTATTAATTTAGCTCTTAACTTTTGTTGAGGGTAATAAGCAAGATTATTTTCTCCTCCCTTCTAAAACACTTTATTCTTCAATCTTTCTCTATTTTCTCATTCTATTTCCCAACTCAGCAAAAACTAGAGCTAAAGTCTTCACCTTTTTTAATCCATTTGCATGCGGCCGAAAATTCAAGGTAAGAATATGTGAGTAAAAAATTTTGTTGTTCGACTCGACTTGTTGCTCGTTTAGCTCGTTAAAATTTTGCTCGACTCATACTCGTTAATTGGCCAAGAGGGGGTGAATTGACAATTAAAAATTTGGTGGAAACTTTTGCAGAAAATTGAAAGTAATTGCACAGCGATTTAGAGTGGTTCGACTTTCTCAACCAAAGTCTACGTCCACTACCTTAGCTATCCACACTAAGGATTTTCCACAAATTCACTAATTTGTCTTTCTTTTGAGGACAAAGAGTAACCTTACAAACCCTCAAGAATTATACCCTAAAATCTTGAGAACACTCTCTCCCAAAGAGAACAATACAAATTTGCACACTTACAAGGAAACTCTCACAAGGTAGATTGTTTGCACAATTCTAGAACAAAGAAAAGAACACTCAAGAATGAATACAATTGAACACAATAAGTGTTCTTGAAAGAAAAATGAATATTGAATGAAAAATAGGCTTGAAATGCTCAAACTTGAGGTTTGATGCTTTCTCTTTGACTCTCTCTTGATTCTAGTTGCTTGTTGTTGATCAATGGCTTCTAAGCTTGCTTAAATACACCTTGAATCACTTCTGAATGTTGGGGATCATTAATGAAGTTTTTGGAGCCGTTTAAGTGTGAAAACAATTAATATTTCTGCTTGGAGCGTGGGGGAATCGATACCCCTCATGGGGAATCAGTTCCCTAAGTGTAAAATTCAAATATTTCGACCGTTGAACAGTGGGGGGAATCTGTACCCCCTGGGGGAATCGGTTCCCTCCGAGCATACTGGAAATCTTGGAGCCAAACCATTCAGGGGAATCGGTTCCCTCTGAGCAATCTGGAAATTTTGGCTTTGAAATGGTTCGAAATATTTTGTAAAATTGTTTTGAAATTATTTTAAGACTAAAACTTAATTTTACACTTGAGTAAGGATTAAAAATGACATTTGAAAGATTTGGAGTAATATTTTGATATTCGAATAATTATATCGAATATACTTAGAAAATCTTTTTGGAAAATCTTAAAATTCATTTAACTTAATTCATTTAACTTAGAAAATCTCTCCCTTTTTGATATAACAAATCATTTTAGTAATTTTAAGATTTTGAAATCAAGTTTTGAAATTACTCCCGCTTACTTTAACACTTCTCCCATTTAAAACATTTAACACACTTACTTCTCCCCCTTTTTGTTAAATCAAAAAGACATTTTAAAAGAATTTAAACAAGGTTTTCAAATCATTTAGCCAATTGAAATATATAGTTTAAGCTGCTAAGATCACAATCAAGAGAAACGTTAGCCATTAGTTTCATAATCAATATTCATAATTAATGTGACATGGCAAAATTGGTCATATTGCTAAAATGATGTAAATGATGCAATAAATTTAACTAAACCAAATATTCAAACATCCAAACAAATCCAAAGTCTAACAATCCACAAAATCAAACATTCCAAAATATTCAAAATGTTGAAACAATAAGCTTTAAGTTCAAAGTACTAAAGCAAAACACATAATCAAGCATCCGTAGGAGGATCGGGAGGAGGAAAATGAGCTCGCATAGCGGCCATCTCATGAGTGAGTTCATTAATACGAGCGTTGGTTGCTTCATTGTTTGCACGCATCTCCCAGAGAATTTCCAATTGTTGAGCTCCCATTGTGGATAAATGGGACTCTATAGAAGTAAAGCACGAATCTATGGTAGCATATCGGAAATCGAATGTCTCCATAAAAGATTGAAAATATGGAGGCATTTGATTCGTTTGTTGTGCTTGCTCCTCAGGCTGCTCCTCGGGCTGCTCAGGCTCATCTTCGGCTTCATCGATGTCTCGCATTAATTGTTCAAGCTCGGGATCGTCGTCAGCTTCTGGTGGAGCTCGTGAAGAACTAGCTCCCGGAGTATTTTCAGAAGATCGAACCCATTCACCGGTTTCCTTATCCTTTATCCATCCCGCTCTCGTTAAGGAAAGAAAATTAATTTGTTTCTTTAGAGGAAACACGGCATATAAACCTACTCTAAGCCCGGCTTTAGAAAAAGATTACTCAGAATGCAACTGTAAACTAGAGATGAACAGAGTTTCTTGTTAGGTACAAGATTTACGGTTTTAACGATTTTAGCAAAAATAATATGAGGTAGGTTTATTTTAATACTGTTTTGGAAACAATGTAACCACTAAAGATCCAAAGCACGAAGAGTAGAGTAACGACCTCCGGATGGTCGAAACCACCAAGAAATCATTAGATGAAGAAAACGATCATGAAGGTCTAAGACACTCGCACTATCCCTTCTTTTATAACGAGAACCTAAAACCTGTTTTTCATTTGATATACCATAATTATCTAATCCTAATGCTTTGGCCATATAAGCCGAGTAAATATGTAAGAATTGTCCTAGGAGGTAGGAATGAACTCCTATGGTTTCTGTTTGAGCTCGGTTTTTGACACAAACGGCATTATAATAAAAGATGCGAACAAGTTAATGGTAAACTATAGGTTCAAGATCACAAAGTTTATCAAATTTCCACTCTTGTAAAAGAGGAAGATATTTAAAATCGATATCTATCATTGTAACACCCCCAACCCGTACCCGACCCGGATATGAGTCAGAGATACTACATTGACTTTAAAACACAACTTTTAACAAATAATAGCAAAATATTTGAACTTATATTAAGAAAATACGATAATATACATATTGTAATATAAGTTTACCAAAATATTCAGAGCATACACAACTTAACCCTTTAATTACATGCAAACTGCCATTTACATAACAAAATGACCTACTGATTAAGTTGCTTCTGATCTGATGGTTGCAGGAGTAATGCTGTCAAGCTGCTTAACCTGTCTCGTCTACTTTCTCGGATCCTACGTGTGAAACACTCACACGCTAAGTCATCGACTTAGTGAGGCAATGTAATAATAATAACAAAGCAATGTAATGACCATGTCATAATGATATGAAATGAGATGCAAACATGTACTTAATCAATGTAGTCTACATCATCAATATCCATACCTGTAAGCATATTACTTTAGCATTCATGAATTTGTATGAATAAGTTTATTGGCCCATGATATCATACTGAGAACCTAAGGTATCTGAGTAATGTGAGGTTGTGCACTATGCTGTCACCACAGCTCGTATAAATGCACCGAAGTGCCGTGTAGAATTGCACCGTAGTGCCATATAATGATGTCCATAAGGACCACATATAATTCCTTAAGAATCATACACATATACTAGGGATCAAGTATGTGTCTTTCCAAGACTTCACACATGTTCCACAGAATATATATATATCCCGAAGGACCGCGTAGAATTGCACCGTAATGCCATATAATGATGTCCATAAGGACCACATAGAATTCCTTAAGAATCATATACATATACTAGGGATCAAGTATGTGTCTTTCAAGACTTCACACATGTTCCAAAGAATATACATATGTCCCGAAGGACCGCGTAGACCCTCTACCCTTGGCATGCCAACTATACCTATAG